TATTATTATTATTATTATTATTGCTGTTATTATTATTATTATTATCATTATTATCATTATTGCTGTTATTATTATTGCAGCCACAGGTAGGTGGCAGTAATGCATCTCTATAGTCGTTGTCAGCCGCCGATACAGAAGAAGAAGACTTCGTCCGAAAGACCGTGGAGCGCAGGCCGGTCGTTGTGTCCCAGTCATGGCGGGTTTCAGTAAATATCTGACAGCTAGGAACTCCTCCATAGCGGGCAGCATTTTGTTTGTGTTCGTGCTGCTGAAGCACAGGAAGCGGACCAAGTCAAACAGGTAAGCGGCTGCTGTGTGTCGCTCAGCAGCTGGTTGTCAGCGACAGTCATGCTACTGAGGAGCGGCTAGCAGCTGACAGGCGACCTGCCGCTGCTCGGCGCTCCCGAGGCTCCTTTCTAAGCAGGCGCGTTTTCTGTGTGCTCTTCGGGGTCCTCCTGTTTCGGCATACATCCCAACACGAACAGAAATAACGTGTTCCCGACACACTGTCGCACATGACTGGGAAGTCTGTGGCTTGGTGTCTTCTACTGTTTCTTTCTCAGTAATGTCGTACTGTCAGCCAAAGTTGTGTGTGTGTAATCTAATAAGCTAGTGTGTAGTTATCTGTCAGCCACGACAGCATTAACCCCGCTGGCAGGTGACGTGGTGAATGTTGTGGGAAAGAGGTCGCTCTGAGGCGGTGAAGGCTGAGGCTGTAGTCCGTGTGTGAGTCCTGTAAACGGGCCTCATGCTACAGGATGGCAGCGGAGGCCACAGTTACCAGCGTGTTTATCGTTTAATGCCCTGTTTTTCAGAGGAAGCTCAGACCTGGTGCTGAACACGCAGGTATGTTGAAACACCCTGAGCGGAGTGTCCAAAGTCTACATAATACTTAGTTTGGTGCATTTAATTCTTGTCTGAACCTCTTCATGCAGAAGGATGGCAAAAAAGATCGCGCAGCTGTGGACAAAGTTTTCTTCCTCCGGATCCTCCGGATCCTCCGGGTCTTGGTGCCTCGCGTTTTCTGCATGGAGGTAAGAGTGGACTCGAACCAGCGACCGCCTGCACTCACTGCTCTCTTCATATAGGTGCTTTGGTTCGACTCCAGGCCAGTGGACAGTTCATCATGCCGGTGTAGACATGCTGCACATTTCTTCTGTTCGCGGCCCTTACATGGATGTTGCGTTTGAAGGCTTCATGCATGGTGTACACACTGCATCCTTTATTCTAGAAACTAGCAGAAGAGCCAGTACAGACCCTCACATATCTGTAGGACCTCCCAGAGTACAAAGCACGTGGCTCCGGAAAGTTCCGGATCAGCAGGTTGCTTCGGTTGGTGTCACACTGAGGTTACTGTGTTCACATCATTGTCAGTGAAATGAACACAGCAGGTGTATGAATATGGTACTCTGACAGTAATGACCTGATGATAAGGTCGTAGTGATACCAGCTCTTCATCTTTGCTTCCTTCTGGTCAGCATTATGTTGAAGGCACCTGTTGCCAGTCCTCCCATTGAAACGTACTGGTGCCCGTGGTGTTCGATTGGCTGCTCTCTGACATTTTCGTGGTTATTGGTATTAAATTGTGATTCTAGTTTTGTGACAGCCCTAATCACTGAGGCCTTTCACCTATTTGACCAGTGATGACTGGGCCAACCATAAACATTGAGTCTGGTAATGGTTGAAAGATACTGGGAAACAGTTTCCACAGCGTTGCTGTGATTGCAGCAGAGCCCTTTGACACAGAGACAATAACTCCACAAGTCAAGGTCGCCGCCACATGGCTGCTCCTGGTCTGGTCTTATCTCATCAGTTCATTAGATACGAGCAGAGTCAAAGGTAGGACCATAAACATCTGCAGTCTTTTACACACTAACCGGTCTGTGGGCGCTGTCTCCCCTCTCCTCCACAGGCTGGCTACCTGATGTTTATTGCTGCCATGCTGGTGGCCAGAACCTACTGTGACGTGTGGATGATCCAGAACGGGACCATGATCGAAAGGTCAGGCTTCAGTGTTTACGACGTTTCTTTGTGTTACAGGAGTAAATCAGACGACACAAAGATGAGACGGTGATAAATCACTAGAGTGGGGGGCGGGGCAGTGTGTGGTCGCAGCGTCGGCGATGTTGATGCCCTACCAGGCCGGAGCAGGGGTGTTCCCGGCTTTCTCTGCTGCTGCTCACACAATGAAAGTTTGAAAACGTAACGTGGATTCTGCTTTGCTGTCTTTACAGGAACTGATGACTGTGTTTTGGTTCTTCACAGTGGTATTATAAGCAGAGACAGCTGTGTGTTCAACACGCACTTTTGTTCCTACATGTCAGTCATACCAGGGGTAACTATCAACAAGTGCTGTGTTAGAAGAAGCCATTAACATGGTAGCTCTAACATCTGCTTTGTGCGGTCTGTGAGGTACAACGCTGACCTGTGGTCGTCATGGGGGCGTGTAGCATCTTGGCACAGGTTCACTGGAATGCTGTTCAGTGTGTGCTCGTTACTCCGGCCGCCGGCTCTGGATCAGCTGGCTCGACCTGCAGCTGGTCAGACGTGGCGTGCAGTATGAACTTGTTCTGCTTCAGAGACTGTGTGCGCCGTTTCACGTGTCACATGACCCTGGCACACAAAGCGCTGCGTACGAGTGCTGCATCTTTGTAGGAGCAGTGAAAGGCGCTGCATTGTTGAGAAGCGCCTGAAGCTGAGTTTTTCAAACGCAGACTTGTTCTGTGTGCACTCTGCAAATGTCAGAAACCCAGGAGAGAGAGAGCTGGGCGGGACCCAGATGTGCTTTGATCCAAGTCTTCATCAGGCCGTCACGCTCTGATCCCGGAGTCGAAGCTGCTCGAGAGCAGACTGAACTACTGTTGATTATAGATTTGATATTGCTGCAGATGTTGAATTACAAGCACACACTGCACTTGGGTTTGGGCGGCCATATTTTGTTATTTTTCTGTGCGATTAGGTGGATCTGACAAATCTTTGTAATGTATGTAACAAATGCAGTTTACACGTGGCCCAGTGACGCCTCAGAGTCGGGCCTCTGTGCACAGCAGCTAATAACATGGAAATGCATAGATTGAGTAGTGTTCCAGTGTTGCTCCGTGTCAGGATCCACCGTCCTCTTTGTGTCACATCATAAATTGCACACAGCAAGCTTCAGTGTTTGTCTCTGACCTTGGCTTTGTTTGCTCATCTTTGTTCTTGTTGTGGTTTGCAGTGCAATTATTGGTCGTTCGACTAAAGATTTCAAGATCTGCTTGTTGAAGTTTATTGAATTCATGCCAATTGTAAGTGTGAACTCTGGAGTCCTGAGGTTTGTGACACCCACGTTGATTTCATGCTCCCACATCCCATCATCACACTAGCATGATCTGCTTGGCTAACTGTGTGACTGACTGCTTTTCATGGCACAGAAACTGGTGTAATTATCACACTGACATAAACTGAGCATGGCTGATTGTCTGTAGTTTGCATGGCTTTCATCACCTCGAGCTGTGTTCCTGCACGCTGTTCTCCTGGGAGCTTTCTTTGAATGTCTGACTGGCTGTTTCCAGATATCCTTGGTGAACAACTTCCTGAAGTTTGGTCTGAATGAGCTGAAGCTGAGGTTTCGTGAGAGGCTAACCCAGCATCTCTACAACCAGTACCTGCAGTAAGTACACCAGTGATGCTGTGCTCGTCGTGTGCAGAGGGTTTCACCTTCAGTGCATGTGAGACGCTGACAGCAGCAGGGTTAGGCTGCTGTATTTAAACTTCAGTGAAACGAGTGGCTTTCTTTGCTAAATCTGGGGAGCAGATGTGAGACGGTGTCAGTCGGCTGTGGTGTTGAAGCCTCTGTGTGCCTGTGGTCACTGAACACCTGGAGCATGTTGTTCAAATGCATGTAAGCCAGGCCTGTGTGGCTGCAGCGTTCTCTTGTTTGCTACTATCAGCTCGGCACTACTGAACTTTGACCCTGCAGATGTAACTGAGGAGAGCCAAAGCAAACAGCGTCAGCCTCTTTTCCATCACAGGGACTCTGACCCGGCTCGTAGTGATTAGAGCTGTTGTGTGATTGTTTCCTGCTTCTTCAGAGGTTACACTTACTACAAAATGGGAAACTTGGACAACCGTGTAGCCAACGCAGACCAGCTGCTGACACAGGATGTGGAGAAGTTCTGCAACAGTGTGGTGGATCTGTACTCCAACGTCAGCAAGGTACTCCCATACATGTTAATGATCAATCAGCTGCACTCCCCCATCATGCAGGTGTAATTCGGCCACAGTGGGATGTAAATCCACTGTACACATCAGAGTATCATCACCCCGTGGGGCGGGTGGATGGAGAGCAAGGTGACACCGCAGAGTCAAACTGATATCATGGATATATGTAGTAAAAACCTCTGACTGCAATAATTTCACAAGATCGTCGCCTGGGCTTTGAAATGGATAGCAGAGGTGTGGTTACCAGGAGGCTGAGGGTGCAGTGGTGGAAGGGCTGGGCCACATCACACCGTTCACTGTGATACCAGTATAATGTGCAGAGCTGGCTGAGTTCCTGTCCGTCACATAGACACCCAAGCACTTTTTTTTGTAGAACATGCAAGCGGCCGTCGTTATTACCGTCTTTTTCACAAAAGAAGCCACACTTAAAATCAATCCTTTGATTTTCTCAAAAACCGACAGCGCGCCTTATGTATGAATTCTGGTTGTGCTTACTGACCTCAAACCGATTTTATGTCCACGGCGCTCATGTCGAAATGTTTCAGTACAACTTTGCTAAGCTACGAAGCCGCAGACTGGAGCCTGGTGGAGTGATACGCGCTGTGCTTCAACATAATATTACAGTATTGTGTGCATAAGGAGCCCAAATGGCTCCTGTTAAGACATGTGCATGAAGTGGATTTTAAAGTCCATCAGTGGCGCAGTCGATCATGAGAACAGAGCAGCTGTGAGAGAATTCAACATTAATGAATCGATGGTACGAAGTGCAGGAAGCAAGAAGAACGAGTCAAGTTTGGTTTTCTTATAATCCCAAAAAAGACATGTTTGACTTATTTATTGGGCACACTGCAAAGCAGCTCTTTAGCTAGTGTGGATATACATGCTGAGGATATGTCGGCCAGTTTCCACTGGAAATGCCTTTTGGTTAAACGGTCTGTGAAGGTTCTCAGTCATCCAGGTCATCGTAGTCAAAAGCGTCTGGACTTCTTTAAGTTAACTTAAGAAGTTAACTTAAAGAAGGGTTGGCGTAATAAGCAAATGCTTCAGCCAATACCTTTTGATTAGCCTTGTCTCATGCTTTCTTTCTTTATGGTAGATTTTTGTTCTGTTTTCACTGTTTGTTTGTTTGTTTTTTCACTGTTTTCACTGAGATTTGAATTTGAATGCTAATCAATCAAATCAAATCAAAGTCCAGACGCTTTTCTTTGCGAGCTCCTTTGACTTTTGGTTAAGCTGTTGCATTGTTGTACAGCTGCACATAAAACAGCTGCTTGTTCAAGTGAAAAAGTATTTTGTCTGGCGGCAGTTATATCGTTATCGCACATTTTCAAATATATGGTGATAAATATTTTTGGCCATATTGCCCTGCCCCAGTGGTGGGGCCGCCCTCTACCACGTGGGCGGGGCTTTCTGTGCGGGACGTGTTTGACATGT